CCATTTGGTCATGGTTTATGGTTGCCATGGCAATACCCAAGGATGGTTCCCCGACTCATCCCCACCCTGACAGCTCCCAGCAGAAACAGCCTCTCTAGAACAGAACACCACAGTCACATCAATGGCCTTAGCTGTCAACTCATCCTTAATTGAAATATTGGGAGCATCTAGTTCTCTGAATCCAGACATACTCAGCATAGGTTGTGGTGTTTCTGCTTGGTATTGGAACTCTTAGTCTACTTAGAGGTTTACTCACCAACAATCAGATCCCAAGGTCCCTACAAAAGGGAACCCTTTTGTCAACATGTGAGTCTTTCTGTAGTAAGCTATATTCTTTTTCAAGGCTGGGCTGGATTCCTTGGTAGCCTTCCTCCATTAGAAGTGTTTTGAAGATATTGTATCTCCCCCAATGGCAACCAGCAACAAAGTGAGTATGACAGTGGATCAGCATTCACACAAGTAGCCAGGTTGGCTCACACAGTGAGAAAGGAACACAGCTTTCTCTGCCTATCTGCTTTGCTAATCCAACCCATGATTATTTTTTAAGCATGTGTACTAAAATGTCTCTTAATAAATGAGACATGAAACAAGTGAGTTTTTTAGTAACAAACTTTTAGTGCAAATGCATACATGGCCATGTTGGGCACAGGTGGGTAGAGAAAGGGTTTTCTTTCCTGGCTGAGGAATAGGAAAAGGGTGTTGTGGCAATGCTTTGAGCAAGCTGCCCTGTTACTCCTCCCTGACAGTGTGGAAATAGTTCATTTCACAGACACGGGTATTTGAAAGCCTTTTAGGCTGCATGTGGAACCTTGTAGAGAGATGGGTGGAGCCACTACTGAAGTTGTTCATCTGAAAAGGCAGGATGCACTACACAAAAGCTGGGGTGACACTTCCAGCCCCCTGGTCCTCTATTTGTCCTTCTTCACTGTGCACTGTGCTCTAAGCCCAGTGGGCTTACCTCTCTAGACAGATTCCGCAGACACCTTTGTCTATGGCTTTCAAAAGGATTTGGCTAATAGGAGGCCATATCAGGAACATGCAAGAGGGGAATCTAGTCCTTGTTGGGTCATGGAAAGTCAACCGATTCCCTCCACTGGGACTTTGAGAACACAGAATTGATCTTGGAACATTGTCCCCACAGCTGCTCTGACTTCTACTAATCTCATTAACGCCCACCTCCTCTTCCTTACCCCCTTTCTGTATGGCGTGGATACTGACAGCTCCTGTTGCTGCCAGTCCTGGGGGCTTGCAATCTTCCTCTGCTGGCTGGCCTATTCCTGCCTCTATCTTCATAAATACCATGTGCCAATGCCCCTCAGTGACTCTGCTTGACTGTACCATTTGCTCCTCCAGCATCCTGACTGAAAAACACTATAAACATGCCTGCCTATTAACCAAGAGCAATGGGCCTCTCTGGCTTAGAACTGTGCACTGGGGGGAAAAAACTGGGGAGACAGGCTCCACATGCTGTTTTCTCTTGCTATTGGAGGCTCTGAGGTATCCCTGAGCCTGCTGCCTCCCTGAGGAAGTCATAGGACCCAGAGCTGGCACTGAGCCCAGAGAAGTCTTGCAGAAAGGTTAATACCCACCATGCAATAAGTCTAAAGGCTCCAACCTCACCGGCTGGGAGTGGATCCCTCCCTGAAATCAAAGCTCTTTGAATTTGCAGATTAGAGACCACATGTCTCACTTCTCTAGACTCAGAGTCGGATACTGGGTACCCACAACTAAGAGGCTCTCCTAAGGCCTTCCCAGAGAGGCACAGGGGTGGGGGAAGTACACAGGCTTGTTGACTTCATCTGACCACTTTTCATCTTCAAAAGGGAGCTGGAGAGAAATCAGAGCTTGGTCTTAGATATTCCTCTTCTTGGTCTGGGTAGAAGCCGGCAAAAGTTATTGGGTGATGGAAATACCCAATGGTCTGCCCTGCAGGGAGTGCAGCTGCCTATACTTTCTGAATGGCAGTATATTGTCCCCCAAAGGAAAGACAAACAAAAATCCCAACCTGGCTGCCACCCTGACCTCTGTGGCATAAATGTAGGGCCCTGGGGGACTGGCAGGCATCCAAGACCCCACCTGCTATGACAGCTCTGACAACCCTGCTGTCAGAGTTCTACTACAAAGACCCTATGTCTTTTAGGATATAAAAGATACATAATGTGCTACATCATCCCACTCCAGGGATAAATTATCTGTGTGGGGGAGAAAATCTTGGAGCATCCTCATCCAACTCCAGTGGCTTGAAGCACACAGACTGGCTTGGTTCTCAAGGCCAGTGTAGCCCTCAAGGGCCAGGCACTAGCAGAAGAGGAGTTTCAAACAGGAATGAGCTCATGACCTTGGCCTCATTACAATTTCATGGGTGTGGCCAAGTTCACTCTTATGAATTTCTAGTACATAGTACATCCAAGTTCAAAGCCTCCATTCACCTCTAAAGGCCCCTATACAGCTGTCAGCTTGATTTTTCTCCTCTTCTACTCTCCATCCAGAGCAGGTAAAGGCCATAGCAATAACAATGAACATGTATGCAAAAAAAAAAAAAAAAACAAAAACGCTTTGACTCCAAAATTTAAGTTGAAGAACAAGTTACTGGGGAAAAGTATTTCTATTTTTGTTTCCACAGAAAATGAAAAGATGTGGATTCCTTCCAGACTAATGTGGTTTGATCACACCAGACCGCCTGAAACAGAGTACAAGCTGATCCTACATTCCAAACAGCTGGACAAAACAGCCCTACAGACTACAGCTAGGATATCTGAATCTTCTTCGAATCCCCCAAGACAGCGCCCCTTACCAGCAGGAAGTAGTTTGGAAAGAACGACGCCCAAATTCCCAAATATTGTGTATAAATGTTTGTTTTCATTTAATTGGACTTTGTTATATAAAATTAAATAAAAAATACTCTATATGCAAAAAAAAAAAAAAAAAGAAGTTCCCACACTGAGCTCCCTCTCTATATGTGCCTAGCATGCTGGTTTGCCTCACCGTGATCCAGAAGCAATTAAAAGTCAGACTAACATGCTGTCCATTTTACAGAGATGCTAAACACTTACCTAAAGTCACACACAAAGTCTTAGATGGCATAAATATAACTCTTATCTGGGCTTTCATATTATCTGTTTTGTCACTGCTCTGGGGAACATTCCAGAAGTTTGTTCCAGTCTACCACATATCACTTATTTCCTACTTTTGGAGAGAAAAGGGCAGAAGAGTCTTCTAATCCGCAGCAATTACGTCAATCATAGCACGAGTCAATAAATACATATCTAACACACCCAGTGTGTGCTACATAGAGATGAAGCTGGTATATTTCCCCCAAACCCTTGTATCTATATGGGACCACACAGTGATCAGTGAATGAGGGCAGATGCCACTTCTAGGCCTGGTCCTTAGAAACCCAATACACCATTTCTGAATGATTTTTCTCAGAGAACATGAAGTGCTACAGGATGGTTTGGGTTACACTAGCCTGTCTCTCCCAAATACTGCACACATGGAGAGAGCCATTCTAAATATACAGAAAATAAGTGAATTCACTGTGCACCATGCATACCTTATAGCATTAGGTTCCATTCTTTCCTAGAACTAGCTCAAAAGAAAATTTCTATTTCATGCTGCTGTATGTTGCTTCCCAGAGAAATTTTTGGAGCTACTTGCTGGAGCTAATATAGTCTATCAGCCTATAGTTTCTGAGTGACTGAACAGAAAATGCCATTCCCACCCAGGACAAGATATAATACAATAAGACCATAAATTTGTAGTGTGATGAGCTACTGATATTTTGAGGTTTTGTCATAGTATCTAGCATTATCTTAAATTAATACACATGGTACGAAGTTAAACAGGAGAGCTGGAGTTTGTTGGAGCTGACCCATCTTTCCCATGGATTGGTCTTGTAGGTCCCTGGAGCTAAAAAATGACAAAAACTTTCCAAGTCACAGAGGATGGGGACACAGTAGGTTCACACAAGGAAGATGAGGCACAGAGTAAGCTATTGTTGCAGGGTGCATGTGTGTGTCACAGAACAGACTCCCCTGGAGGACATTCAGTGGGGACAGTCCAGGAGCCTGCATTCTTAATTTGCAGCAGTAGATGGACTTTGTGAACACCCAGGCTGAGGGCCTGACAGTGTGCCCTATCCCATCAGTGTAGTGTCAGCAGAGATCCCCTTCATGTGGAGATATGCAATGCACAAGACTGAAGAGAGGGGTTCAGGCAGGGGGTGAAATATTTAAAATCATACACTAGGAGTGAGCATTGCAGATGGTTTCCCTCCAAGTTGGGTTGGAGCGGGGCATTTAGGGAACAGAGGTACTTGGCATAGTAGTTACAGCTTGTCTGGGCATCCTAAACCCTCACTACTGCTAAGCAATATCCTCCAGGGGGCTACTACCAAGGCACCAGTTCATTTTTCTGGTCTATTCTCACAATCCCTAATCTCAGCTCTCTACCTCCCCAAACTTTATCCCCTACAAAAGTGGTTATCAGTCTCTGTGTGCTTTCATAACTTTGGTACACGGCTCTATCCTCAATTCTCTTCCCTCTGGAACCAAGGAGAATGGCAACTATGAAGTACATACAGAATTTACAGCCAGTGTAAGGACACACCTAGAAGCCACTGAACAAAAGCTATACAGCCAAACTTCCTGAACCTTATAAGACAGTAAAAATGCCACCAATCAACAAGGACAGACAGTTGTCTGCTTCCACAGTTTTCTTCCTTTCTCAAACCAGTAACCCTTTCAAAACTTGAGGCCCTAAGAGTACAGCTTTCAATGCTGCCCAAGAGAGGATGCCAGGCAGAGCAGTCCACAGTCATGAATATGCTTGGTAGGATGCTCCAAAAGGCTTAAAAATTAAGGCTGGGAAAATGCCCAGAAAACAGGAGAAAGACGCTACTCGTGCACAGAACTGCAGCTGCACTAAGACTATTCGACTGTGTCCAAGGCAGTCCCCTCCCTCTCCTGCCAATACACGACCCCTCTGGGACCAGTCCTTACCGGAATCGTGCCTCTGGCGCAGAAGGACAGCCTGGCCCGATGGTGGAGAAGCTGATGAAGCAGCAGCTGCTGCAGCAGCAGTGGTAGTGGCTGTGTGGGTTGCAGAGGCAGCAGCAGCGGCCGCAGCTGCCTCCGGCACTTCTGGTCTAGCAGGAAGGCTCCCAAGAGGTGGGTTTTTGTCTCCATGCCCAGGTTCAGAGGTGGTGCGGACAGCGGTGCCTTCATTGCTGGAGCTGACAGCGCTTGGGGCTCCTTGTCGACGCGGGCCACTGCTCTGAATGTGGGAAACTGCTTCAGCAGCCTGCATGTTGGGCGGTGCGAAACGCGACATCACGCGCAGCAACGCCTGGGCCTTGTGTTCCTGAGTGTCGTCGTCGCTGAAGTCTGACACACGACACTCATAAACTCCTTCATCCTGCAGTCGTACAGCGGACAACCGAAGGCGGTGTGAGATGTCATTGCCCTGGACACGCACGGTCTGTAAGACAGCTGGGTTAAAGGCCTGACCAGTGAGCTCCACATTTGCTTTGGTGACTGGGGCTCTTGATTCCCCTGTCACTGTACAAATAACATCTCAATTGTCACTGCACCCCAATATTTCCTAACACCTCAGTGCATCTCAGCTCATGGCACCCAGCTCTCAGTCCTGTCTAGATAGCTTGTTGCTTGTACACTTTGTTGGGTCTCCAGTTCCTAGCTGTCTCAACTCACATATATTCTTGCTTAGAGTTTCCCATATTTCCCCTTCAGAATATAAGAACTTGCAAGAAATTTCAGGTTGGGGCTCTGTGTCACTAACCATCCACATTCTTCCTGCAACTCAATGTCCAGGCTCACTTTCACTTAGAACTCAGGGAGCCTGGGCTGTGTCCATTCTGCCTGTAGCATGCATAACTACATTTACAGCTAGCCCTTGCCTTGTTTAAGACTGACCACTTGTTAGGATCCCTGATAAAGCCCTCTTGGCCTCTTGGTGTAGTGGAAATCTTAAGACTCTCATCAGACACAGGCACAACCTCTGAATAGGGCCTATGAAGAGGCTTCCCTTGTTTTTCAGGCCCTGCTACTTCCATGTTCCAGCTTTACAAATGCTATACCCCTCACCATGTAAAATACAGCCCCCAGGACCCTACAACCATGCTATCTACAGAGGAGGAGGTGGTTGAGCAGGGGGTGCTCTTGAAGAGCTTGGTGAGTTCAGGGAGGGGCAGAAGGGGATGGGAAGCTGGAGCAGCCTGAGCTAGAAACCACATTGGAGGTCTTGGGGGAAACAAAATGACAGCAAAGGAAGTCAAAAGAAGGCGCATGCCAGGGGCCTGAGAAAAAACGGTGAAGAGGAAGGAACGCTGATTTACACAAAAGACAACCTAATCCCTCTACTAGCAACAGATGGCGCCCGAATACACCAAGTAGCTCCCAAAGCTTCAGGAAGGTAGCAGAGCTTGCACTGCTTGGCGGCAGAGGTTTTCTAAAGAGGGAGCTGCGGGGCGCAAGGCGGCCAGAAGGGGTCTCCCGTGGCCCATGGCGGTCTCCACACTTACGCTGATTTTAGTTGCGTCCTTATTTGTTACCTAAAATGCAGAGGGGGGAGGGAGGAAGGGAGAAAAAGGGAGGGAGGAAGGGAAAGAGAGATCGATTAAACTGGTGACATTTGTACAAGGGGAAATTCTGACCTATCTTGGACAACAGGGACTTTCCGCAAGTGGGCTGGGAGCTGAGCCCCCTGGGGTTTGGTACGGTGGGGGACACCAGATACCTTAGTATTTCTGCAGTGTAACGAGAGAGAAACAGCTTTGGAGCTAACACCTTGTTTGGCTAAGCCGTGGCTGCCCTGATACACACCTGTTTGCTTGGGAGAGTAGGGGTTCTGGATGTCCAAGAAGATGCAAAGGAAGGAGCCTTGTCTCTTACTCACTTTCTCTAAATCGTCCACTTAATTTGAAACTGTGAAAAACTGGATAGAGGGCCCAGAGTCTCTGAGGCCCTGACAGCCTGGTATGTGTGGATGTGTGCCAAAGGAAGAGTAGAACAGGAACTCTTAATAAGTGGGATCCTGGGGCACTGTAGGTAGGTGCATGTGTGAGTGCTAGTGTGGGTTATGGAGCAGACTGAAAGGTTTTCTGGTCACTGAGGGTGGCACAGCCCCCCAGATCCTGTGGAAGCTGGAAGTGATCAGCTGACTACTTAGTATCCTGTTCTCTGTCATGTAAATGCAATTTATGGAGGAAGTGAACTCCATGGCCTTGAGCCGAAACACCTCAGGATGGCGGAGTAAAGCCTGAAGGAACCAAATGATCTTCTTTCAGCCAGCACCCATCAGAGTATAGTCCCAAATCTAGCAAGTATGGGCAGCCAAACAGGTGTAGGTTTTCAAGAGCTGCGTGTGAAGGGAGTTCCCTGAGGCTGCAGAGAACAAAAGCTGTGTAAAGAACCGACAGCTTCTAGGGACAGTCACCAACTTTGACAAAGCTGTGGAGATGCAGATGGGAGGTGGCAGTACGACAGGGCGGCGCCCCGTAAGGGTAACCCTCACTTCTCCGCCTTCCAGGAGCAGGGTAAGCACCGGTGACGCTTGGACAGCGGGTTACCTTGCTCCGGGCGCCCGGCACGCTGAGCGCCAGTTCGTGTAACAGCTCCCGGGGATGCTCCTTAAGATACCACCACTGAATCTCCAGCGAGTATGAGGTGGCTCCGCTGGCTCGGAACGCGCAGGGCATCTCGATATCGTCTCCCTCCCGTACGGTTACATCTTTGGGGACTTCGGTAAATGTAGCTGGGGGCGGGAGAGAGAGGCGTGACCAACTGAAAGGCGGGGGCTTGGGACAACTCGAAGCTGAGGCTGTCGATCTCCTGCTCTCCGGCCTTGGGCTCCCCCCCACTCCGGTCCCCAGCTACTGTGCGGCCCAGGGCGGGAGGTGCCTCAAAGTTCAGGGAGCAGCTGCAAAGCGGAAGCGGAGACCTGCCACTTGCTGCAGACTGCTTCCCTCCGGGTCGTTCAGGGTGCAGGGCAGATAGGATCGGGCCACAGCATTGGAGCCGGGCAGGGGCACGCCAACTTTCGCTCACTGCAGGCCTCTGCTTAGCGGGGACCCGTGGAAAGACACCCTAAGCGGCCGCCACAGCCGCCGCGGTGACCCTGGTCTGCTCTCGTGCCCCTACCCACTCCCAGCCTAGGTTGCACACCGGGATCGCTGGAGACCGTGAAACCTGCCGCTTCCTTTCCTCCTCTGTGGCCACGATGGCAGACTTCCGCGGCCTCAGCAAAGGATCCCCTGAGCCCAACGCGGCCGCGAAGTTCCCGCGCTCACCGTCGGCGACGAAGAGCAGCAGGCCGTGCAGCAGCAGGGGCGGCAGGTATCCGAGGGCGCCGAGCCGGTTCCGCTGTTCCATTTCCCGCAGGGTTGCGGCGGCGGCGGGGCCCCGGCGCGGAGAGGCGGCGGCGGCGGCAGCGTGGGCTTGGCTCCGGCTCGAGCTCGGGCTAGGACTCCTCGGAGCCTGCCATGGCCCCGCACGGCGCCCCCTCTCCTGGCCGCCGCCGGCTGCCAATCAGCCAGGCTTTCTTGCCGGCTGGTCCGGCGCAGATCTGGCGTGGGGCGCTGCTCTGGGGGCGCAGGAGGCGAAGTCTAGCCAGAAGGCTCCTTAGGTCGGTACCTCCTTAGGGTGGTCCACAAGAAAATGGGGATCCGCAGTTCAGTCTCTAGCCGGCGGGTCGGGCAGCGGCCGGGCTGCGCCAGGACCCATCCTTGGAGAAGGGGGTGAGTGTCTGAGAGCCACCAGCTTCTGCCTCCCGGTATCCTGGCTGGGCTCCCGACTGCCACCTCCTCCGGCTCTCGCCGAGCTCTCCCGCCGCCGCCCCCGCTGGTTTTTCCGCGGTTCTTTCCGCAAGGCGAGTGGGCGCTCAACCGCGGCGCGCAGACCTGGCGTCCGACCCAGCGCAGCGCGGGGCGAGCGGGTCCGGCGTGGCCGACCCGCAGCCAGTGAGAGGAGGGGAGAGGGGGAAGGGAGAGAAAGGGAGGGGGCGGTCAGTGGCTGGGTGGCGAGCAGCCTCCTCCGCGACATCACCCCCGCCCTCCTCTCCGAGCCCGCCCCGCCCCCACCCCACTGGTTCCCCATCCCTCCGCGGGATCACTAGGAGCGAACACCGTCTTTCTGGCTGCAGCGCAGCCCCACCCGCCTCTGCTTTCTTAGGGGGTCCTCCCACCCAAACTCCGGGCTTCTTCCCAGTGTGCCCATCCTTGGAGACAGCTGCTCCACCCTGCTTCCGTGTTCCCCCCCCCCCGATACTCTCCGCAGCCCCCAGGGCCTCAACTCCTTACCCAGATTTGGGCCACGAGCCACACCACTCTTTGGCCCAGACCCGGGCCATGGCGGGTGGATGGGCGCTAGGGGACTGAGAGAAGGGCGGAACGCTGTGTCCGGCCAGAAGCAAAGCCAGGTGACAGTGAAGACTAGGAGTCCGCAATGTGAGAGAGAGAGAGAGAGAGATGTGAGCGCCCAGCAAGCAGGTGCCTGTGGCGCGGAGCGCACCAGAGAGCCAGCAAGCAGCGGCCGTGAGTGACGGCAGAGGAGGTGCGGGTGGGGCGGAATGGGGAGCGCTGGGCACGACTCAAAGCTCCGGAGGTTTCTGGTTGGGGGAGGTCTTCTTGCCCGAGGAGAGCCGATCCTTGTGTCCTCGCGAGCTCTTCCCCGCCATTGCCCACTCTGTACCCATAGCAAAGGGGTCCCCAACCCCCGCCCCAGGCGGAAGGAGGCAGAGGTGGCATACACAGTCGCGTTCACAGCCCATCCCCCACTTTTGCTTCTTCTGAGTCCCTGAACATGCCCTGGCCACCTCCTGAGCAACCTAGAGAGTGCAGTCTGCCTTCCTAAGGGGAGTGAGGGTGGATAAGTGGTTCAGTTTGGGCAAAGTGGCTTAGGGCAGAGCCCTGGAGTTCTCCTTGGGCCTCTTCTCTTTCTTTTCCTCAGAATTTGGGATTCTCCAGCCAGTGGTCTGGTCTGGTCTCTTAGCTTAACCTGAAGTTACGGTGAACATCCCAGTAAACTTCCCCTGCAGTCTGGGGCCAGTCTCCTAGTGTCTCTGCCAGTGGGCTAATGGCTAGTGAGTGAAAAAGGAAACCCAGAAGGGAAATACTTTCCAGTAGTCATCCCAGTCTAAGAAAAGAAGGACACAATCCTAGAGAAGAGGCTGCTAGCCCTTTCTAAACTTTGCCTTCAACAGTGAAGACCATGGGCACGGTATCCCTCTGCCCCTCCTCTTCCTTATGTGACAAGAGGGTTATTTTCACCCTCTGGTCATTCACTGATGCTCTTGCGAACAGAAAACCATGTAGACCTTTCCTCCAGGGTCCGCATTGCCTGCTCCCACTACATATCATCACCATTGACCTGCCTCCCCCTAGACATTCCACATTTAGAACCCAGAATAGGCCTGTGAATATAAAACCTTGCAGGCCCCTTGCTGTCCTCTGCTTTTGAAGGGAGGGGGCAGACTTGTATCATGCTACCCATATGCTAGGCCATAGCAGAATTCTGAGGGAGCTATTGAGGAATTTATTACAATCAGGGATCTGATGGCATGAGCTAGCACACTGTGCATGAACTTCTTTGGAGAGGTAGTGAGCTTTTTATCCCAGTACCAGGGCCAATGGAGGACTGATGGCCAGTGAGCAAGCTTACTGGAAGGAATTCCTGCCACTAGAAGGAGGTATACCTTGGTCACTCTGAAGGTTTGTGGATTCTTTCTACCCATTCCCCTTGGCAGGATTTTTTTGCCTGTGACATAAATTGGTGTGACTATAATAATAGAATAATAGTAATAGTTGCTTGCCACCATGTGCTTGTCACACAGTAGACACTGGCTGCACTTTCTGTGTATCAGTTCTCAGGATGACAACTGAGAGTTCCTTCTCAAACATAAATTAGATCATTCTTGCTCTACTCTGAAGCATACAGTGGCTTCCACTCCACTCAGCATTTCCAGGATCAAATGGTTGCCTTCTCAATATCTACTTTCCCTCGTCCCTCTGCTTTCTCTGCCTTTCTGTCTTTACCCTGGCTCACACTCCTCCCTGGACAAGGTCCTTTCTTGTGCAATGCAACATACCCACCCCCAGGACCTTTGCATCAGCTGTCCTTGGTCCAGCTAGGATGTTCCTCTGCCCAATACTCGTGCTCTGAATTTTGTCATGAAGTGACTTTCTTAGCTAGGCCCACCCACCTCTAATCCATGTTTGACTCTGTAGTCTGGTGTTCCCTCCCCCAGTATTTCTTCCTTCATTATTTTCTTTTAAAATAACCCCCTTTCATCTTATGGTTCATGTCTTTACTTATTGTCTTTCCAGCTTCAAGTCCATAAAGCTTTTGCCTGCTTTCATCGCTGGGGCTTTTAACACCAGAGTCTAGCACAGAGTCTGAGTTAGACAGTGTGGTTTCAGCCTGTGTTACGGATGAGGTAGGTAAGCCTCAGACAGTTTGTGGAACTTCCTGAAGGTCACACTGCTAGTAGGTGGCTGAGGCTTCAGCACAGGGCTGTCTTATGTGAGGTTCTTTATTTAAATAACTACAACAAAATAAAAAGTTATACAACCCTCTTCCAAGTCAAGAAAATCTGGAGCTTCTGAGAAGGGGTAAAGCCACCTAATTGGCTCAGTGTTGGTAAGAACTGCTCGCCTGTCCATGTAGATTGGAGTGGAGAGTTGCACTGTCCTCACTGCCTTTACCATCCATCTCTGCTAGGTACAGTAGTGAACAAGAAACATCTTTGGGAGCATTGCGAAGGGCTTTTGTTCCCCTTTGATGGGGTTTCCTGGTGGTAGGCAGGGACTCTGGGACTCCTAGTTTTTTCTGGCCTAGGTACCACCTCTTGAAAGGGAGCCAAATTCTTCCTCACCAGTCCTGATGGGCCAGGGGCAGGCACCTGTGGTAGAGTGTATGCATATGTCTTTTCTAAGGGGTTGCTTCTCTCTGGGGACACAGCTACTCAGCCCGACCCCACTGCAACTATCCCTTCAGCATCTGCAAAGATGCCTTGCTAGCATGCATCCTGTTTTTATGAGGGAAGCATTTTCCTGTGATGGATCTGTGGGAGCATTCCATGAGTGTTTGGTTCCCCTCCATGATTGCTCATCAGTGGCGTAGAGAATTGCAGGATTTCCCTCCCTCTCTCTCTCTCTCTCTGCAGTCATAGATTTGAAGTGCCTGTGGATCTGCAGTGTCGAGGGGTCTCCCATAAGGTGCCTGGTGGCCTTTGAACTGGCTGTTTCCATGGGCTTCTTCCTGCCAAACCTGACTGGTGTGCTTTGGGTTCCCTTTCTCACATGCCTTGATTGTCTTTGCTGTAGTTCCACTCAGAATTGAGCAAGAAGCCCTTGCCAGTGCTGTTCTGGGGATGGCGATCTCTGAAAATATCTTTAACACAGCTTTAGCAAATGTGCCTCCTGGAGTCACTTGCAAAGTTTGTTTATTTTAATGTTCCATTTTGGAGTTGAGGTTTTGATATTCTTGTCTCAGTTGACCTTTCCTGTCCTTTCACTGCCACGTGCAGCAACATTGATTTTGGGTAATGTGTTTTGATTTTAAGATGCAGCCCATCCATAAACTTTTCTATCAATAACTCCAGCACACTCTGGGTACCAGACAGCTTAAAGCAAAATATCAGATTTATGGGGACCTTTATTTTTGGGAAATGTAGTCATTCATTTGCCACCAGTGTCAGGGGATTAAGGCTTGGAGTCTGGCAGGGGGAGCCTTCAAGGACACACATCAGGTCAGGATACACAAAGATTGCTAGAGAGGGAAAGGATGAGGGGATTTCTGAGCCAGGAGGAAGGCAAATGAAAAAGTTTTCATTTTGTGTTCCTTTTGCCCTCTTCTGTCCAGCCTCATGATCAACTTGGAGTGTTAGATTCCAGGAGGACAACCCCTACATTGCATGGGGACAAGAGAGACTCTTGTATGCTCATCAGACCTTGGGCTGTCACAGAGGTTGCCTGGCCCTGTCCTTGTACCTTCTGCAAAGCGGGCATAGCTTTCAGTCTGGGCTCAGCTGGTTACAGAAGGGACATACAGCTGGCAGGGCTCCAGGGTCTGGCCTGCCGTTGCTCACTGCAGTGGCAGTGGCCCCTCACTTTCTCTACAGAGCTGGGGCTGTTTGTGAGTCTATCAGAGCCATAGTTTACTGGGCTTAGCCACTGCCCAGAGAAGGGGTATGAAGAGAGAAATGCCCCAGGCAGGATCTGCTTCAGTACTTTCCAGCACTGGGAACACTTCAGAGAACAAGACATACAGGGGGCCCTGCATAAGACCACTTCACTTTAGGGAAGAGTTGAGGGAGAAGTTGGTCCAAATTTTAAATTCAGAGTCTCATAGCTAAGGCTGGCCTGGAACTTTCGATCCTTCTGCCTCAGTTTCCTGAGTTTTGGAATCTGGGCTTTGCACCTCCATCCCTGGTGAGGATGTTTGTGCCCAGAAGAGAGAGGCTGAGAGCTGCACATGGTGTCAGGGCTGAGTCTTGCAGAAAACAGGCCAGCATGTGATGGTGTGATGCCCCTAGCTGGGGAGATCATGAGAGAAAAGTTGGAGATCCCTTGGGCAGGCTTCCTGACAGCTGAGTCTGTGTGCAAAGCATGAGTGAGATGGTCTCCTGTGGGGCCTGGTTATGGTGCATTACTATTTTGAGTGCTACCCAAGAGAGCATATTGGGCCAAGAGACCAAGGGATGTGACTGAGACAGAAGAGTCCAGAGTAAGAAGATCATGAATGGAGTTGAGAGACAGGGCAGGCTTTGGACTTGTTACAAAAAGGTAGTAGGGACTCTAGGAGCTTGTCTGTAGGGTTAGGCAGGAGCAGGGACATCAACAGATGTAGTCACAGTTGCAGACAGAGGCAAATTCATTGCTGTAGACAATGTACTGAACTCTCAGGTGAGTCCTCAGCTTGCCATCTTCCTCTGCTTCCACTCCTCTTACCTTTGAGATCAGGTCCTGGCAAGCACCTCCGTCATACTCAGTTGTGAAAACCCCACAATGCCCAAGTCAGCAGGAGGAGGTACTGACCATGAGAACTGATTATTTAGCTGCTGGTGTAGAAGTGACAGCCACAGTCTACATTGGAAAGGCATACCTGCTGGCTTTTGGTGCTGGGGGAGGTTGTGTGGGACATTGCAGTCATTGCATGGTCTTGAACCTGGGTGCTGAGAAGAGGCAGAAACAGAACAAGAAGTGACCAGGAGAATTTAGTATTCCCTAATGGATTTTTAGCTCCCCTCACCCTGTGTGTGTGTGTGTGTGTTTTATTTAGTCATTTGCCAAAATAAATCTTATAGACCTACAGAGAATTAATTGTTTTATTTTTTAATATTCTCAGTGCACTTGGGGTTTTATTTCCCACTAGATCTATTAGTTTAATTTAGTAGAGGACAGACTGTGTACTTAACCAAAATTTGTTCTGACATTATGGAGAATTAAGAGACTGAGGTCAGAAAGATGGAGCTGATCGATCTGCTTGAGATAAACTCTATTATTTCTCCACATGCTTTCTTCACCTTCATGGTGAAGACAGTGATTGGAAAACACGGCACTGTCTGATCATGACTAGGCCAGAGGGTCAGGGCTATGACTCTTGAATCTTTTACTGAAAATCAGAGGTCACCTCCTTGGCAAGATGTTATTGGAACATGGCAGTAGAGGTGCTTTGCAGGGCTA